AGAGAGACAGACAGAGAGATAGAGAGAGAGAGAGAGGGGGCAGAGAGAGAGGGGAAGAGAGAGAGACAGACAGAGAGAGAGAGAAAGAGAGAGAGAGAGAGACAGACAGAGAGAGAGAGAGAGAGAGGAAGAGAGAGAGAGAGAGAGAGGAGGAGAGAGAGAGAGAGAGAGGAGGAGAGAGAGATAGGAGGAGAGAGAGAGATAGAGACAGAGAGAGAGAGACATGAAGGTGTGTGAGAGTCTCACTCTGGCGTCTTTGTCTCCGATGAGGCAGACGGCTTTCAGTGTGGGGACCCAGCGCTTAAACTCGTTCATCCAGTTGTGCAGAGTGGATTTGGGCACTAGAACCATGTGTGGACCCGGGATGTTCCGGTAGTGTTTCAGGTAACCCAGCAGTGCTATCGTCTGCAGAGTCTTCCCCAAACCCTGACGGATCACAGAACCAGACAGAACACCATCTCAAACAACACGCAGCACGCTGGGATCATTGGGAGCCTGGGAGCTGCGTGGGGGTCTACAGTGTGGGGCGTTAGTGTGAACCTAGGACTGGGCGATTAATCTAGGCTTATTTTCAATCACGATTTCAGCTTCCAACGATAATGAAAACAAAATAATCAAGATAAAACGATTATTGCACTGCATTCGGTTTCGCAATGATGCTCTCGTTTTATCTTACGTTATAAACCCAGTGCTCCCTTTTCGTTTACAGAGCCCCTCCCTAAAAGCCCAAACTCACCTCATTATTTTATTATTTTTATATATGTTCAGTATTTTTCAGTAGGTTATGACATTATTACACTGTTTATTTAAATGAGTGTATACAAAAAATTAGAACATTAGACTATAAATATACACATTAATATATACCAGTATTGCACAATGTCTAATGTACAGTTTTTGTACAGTAATATGTTATAAGTAAGTTCTATAAGTTAAAACTTTATTTTTTATATATATAGTTGTATCATCTACACATACATATATATATATATATATATATATCAATGAAAGCAGGATGTGTCCAAAGTCACTGTAATTGTGTTAAATTGAATGTAAACGTAATTAGTTTCATAACTATGTAATTATATTACATAATAACACAAATCATAAAAAAACAATAACTCTAAATTTCTATGGCTTAAAGCATTTGTGAAAATAAGGTAACACATCATCTACAGGTAACGCATCTAGATATGACGTGTTTCTGCTAATTTTCAGGGCTCAAGGCCACATTTTATGTTTATTTTTTTTAAAGTCTGAAACTCAGCAATTAAACAGTAATTATGTATTAAAATGTGCAGAAGTGTGTCTCTGTAGAGGACGTGTTTACTTATTCACACTCAGAACATCAACAAAAACATGGAAATTGATCACAGATTCCACATTTTATTCCGTTTTAATTGTATGTGTTTGTGGTTTAAATCATCTGTTACCATTTCGTCAGCCAGGATGCCGTTAATGCCGTTTTCGTAGAGGGAGATCATCCAGTTCAGTCCTCTGATCTGATAATCTCTCAGAGCGCCGTTCTTCACATCTGCAGATCAATCAGTCAATCAATCAATCAATGAAACAAATGAACAAATCAGTCAGTTAGTAAAACACAGGGCTCCTACACGTTTTCCGTTTCAATATCCAGACTTTTCCAGACTCAGAGACTCAGATTTCCAGACTTCTTGGTAGGTTTTTCAGACCATATTTGATGTCTAAGTACAAACAGCGAAATGTTTATTACGTTAATAAATGGTTTTAAAATGTAACTTAACATGTACGTTACATTCTGACTATATGCGCTATTGTGTTGCCAAATACTTGCCAAAAAATTGTAACTGGGTACCGTTAGGGATGGGTATCGAGAACCGGTACTAAACTTGTGACGCTTCCTGCCTGACTGGTCAGTGGCAAAATATGGATAACCTCCTGGAAAAACGGTGCTGATATTGCTGTTTATGCTCGTCAAATTAATCTAAAAGCCACTTTAAACTTGCAACGTATCAATATTCACACAAAGGCGGTTCTTCAAGGGTTCTTTAAAAAAGTGTTTCTATATAGAACCACGAACACTCAAAGAACCTTTTCCATGATTAAATGTTTCTTTGAATCGCGAAATGGTTTTTCAGACTGATGGTGATTGTGCTGAAGATGGTTCCATACAGAACCAAAAATGGTTCCTGCATTGTTACAAGCTTGACATCATAATAATAGAAGAACCCATTCTGGTGCTATATAGAAACATTTTCACAGAACCGCATACAGCACATTCTTCATCAACCTGAAGAACCATTTCACCATGCAAAGAACCCTTTACTCACGCAAAGGATTCTTTGAGCGTTCATGGTTCTATATAAAACCATTTTCTTTAATAAAGAACCCTTAAAGAAACACCAACCAGAGGTGAACTCCCTCGTCTAAGACCCGCCCCCTGTTAAAAAGTGCCACAGATCAGAAGCAAAAGAAAAATTTCAGAAGCCAAAAAAATATATAAGCATAACCAGCAACAGAAAAAAAGCAGAACCCGGCAAAACGAGCAGACATCTGTATCAGAATGAGGCAAAATGAGTAGAAATCTTTTTGAAAAATGAAGGTTTAATTTTAAATTTGGGGCGTCACTGCGGCGCAGTGGGTAGCGCTGTCGCCTCACAGCAAGAATGGCCTGGGTTCGATTCCCGGCCGGGTGACCAGGGTCATTTCTGTGTGGAGTTTGCCTGTTCTCCCCGTGTCTGCGTGGGTTTCCTCCGGGTACTCCGGTTTCTTCCCACAGTCCAAAGACATGCAGTCAGGCTGATTGGACATGCTGAATTGCCCCTAGGTGTGAGTGTGACTGTGTATGTCTGTCTGTCTGCCCTGCGATGGACTGGCGACCTGTCCAGGGTGTATCCTGCCTTCCGCCCAATGACAGCTGGGATAGGCTCCAGCACCCCACCGCGACCCAGAAGGATAAGCGGTTTAGATGATGTATGTAATTTTAAATTTCATTTAAATAAATTTAAAAATGTGTAATAACATCTGTTAATATTCTGGACATTTTTGATGCCCAATATTTTGCTTGTGGATTTTATTATTTCATTTAAAACTTTTGGCACAAAATTACTCCATATGGGTTAAATTAGGTCAATTCACAATCTTTCCATGTCCAGTCCAGCCTGTTTATCTCTGCAGAGGAGCTAAAAGCACCGTCCGCCCGTGTGGAAGCAGCCAGACGGAGTGAGGAGGAACGAGAAGGTTTAAAAATACATTTTGCGTTGCTGTCGATTTGCGGTCTCTTGAAATAACTGACGCCGAACTCTTCCTTCTCTTGTTGTTTGAAAGGCTAGACGCTGCTGCCTCCTGCTGTTAGATCTGAATGCAGCACAACTGACTTCACAGGCGTCACCAGTTTTTGGCGTAGTTTAGAGCGACAAATCGTACTTTGATGTCAAAATGTGTACCTGCTATGCTAAACAGGTACAGGCGGGCTGGTCTGTACAGGGCAGGCTGTGACGTACAGCTGTAAAGGCAGCTCTGCGTACGAGTGTGAGTTCAGTCGCACGTCTTACTTCTTGCTTTGCTTTCGACGACATCAAGCTCACTCTGGGTGGCGCTCTCTCTCACAGTAAACATTTTTTCCATACTTAGCCAGCCTGGATGTTACTAAAATCAAATTCCCACTTTTCCGTACTTCTCCATACTGCGTAGGAACCCTGAAAGCAACAGACACTGATCCTCACATGAAGGCGACTCCTCGAAGCGGACGAGAAGATTAGCGGCCTTCCTGCTCTCCGACAGCAGCTCCTCGTCCTCCTCCTGCTCCGTCCGGCGGTGACGATTACTGACAAACACAAACAAACACTGTCAATAACAAAACAGCCAATTACACCAGAAATTTAAAATTCACCTTCAGGTAAATGTCCTTCCCAAACACTTTACTGTGCTATTTATTCAAAAACGTTTTTATTAGAACTTCATGCCAGATATGAATTTTTTTAGAACTTGAATTTAAATATTAATGAAAAACTTTATATGATATATTAACTTTATAAGAACTTCATTCTGAACGCGAATTCGATAAAAATAAGTGTTGACAAATTTTACTCGAACTTCGTTTCAGATATGACTTTTATTAAAACTTCGATGTAAATATTATTTGTACTAAACTCTGTCATTCTGGATGACAATTGTATTTAAAAGTCATCCTGAATATTAATTTCATTAGAACTTCATTCTGGATAATAATTTTATTGGAACTTAATTCCCAAAATTTACTTTATTAGAACTTTAATCTGGATGTTAATTTAATTAGAATGTCATTCTGGATATTAAGTTCACGTAAATGTAATTAACTTTTTTCCCGAATTGTATTTTATTACCATTTTTAAAATTAATTCTGGATGTTAATGTTATTGGATCTTCATTTTTGGACTCACTCTCCGACGGACAGCAGGTTCTGTTTCTCGTCCTGTTTGGTGCGGGGTCTCCCCACTCGAACCTTCAGGGGTGACGTGGGGGATTTCTGACTCGCTGGCTGGATGAAGTGAGCAAACAGCTCAGTCTGTTTCAGCAGGAATTCAAACCTGTTTGCCCTGTCTGCTTTCTACAGAGAGAGAGAGAGAGAGAGAGAGAGAGAGAGAGAGAGAGAGAGAGAGACAGACAGACAGAGAGAGAGAGACAGACAGACAGACAGAGAGAGAAAGAGAGAGAGAAACAGAGAGAGAGAAAGAGAGAGAGAAACAGAGAGAGAGAAAGAGAGAGCAAGAGACAGACAGACAGACAGAGAGAGAAAGAGAGAGCGAGAGACAGACAGACAGACAGAGACAGATAAATAGAGACAGAGAGAAAGAAAGAAACAGAAAGAGAGACAGAGAGAGAGACAGAGAGAGAGGGAGAGACAGAGAGAGAGAGAGAGAGAGAGAGAGAGAGAGAGACAGAGAGAGAAAGACAGAAAGAGAGAAAAAGAGAGCGATAAATAGAGACAGAGAGAAAGAAAGAAACAGAGAGAGAGACAGAGAGAGAGACACAGAGAAAGACAGAGAGAGAGACAGAGAGAAAGACAGAGAGAGAGAGGGAGAGACAGAGAGACAGAGAGAGGGGGGGGTATAGTGGCATAACTCATTTAGTTGTCATTAATAAATCAACTTTGATGCAAATAATAAAAGCACAGTTCATAGTTATAAACGGCATTAATAGCGTTTATAACACTGTTACACTGTAACAAACACTCACTCTCTTCTCTTCGTATTCAGGGTCCACTGAGCCTTCCTTTACTGCCGCTTTAGGAGGGGGTCCCAGGAGGAATGGAGGGTCCTTCACCTTCACACACAAACACACTGTCACTGTATGACACTTGACATCAATACATACCCGTGTTTACACTTTATAAACTCCTTTATAAACGTGGTTATTACATCTGCACCGCGCCAATAACGCCATCTATTCAAGATTATTATGTTTATTTGTGACACAGAACGTGGCTTTTAAAATAAAATAAAAATAAACAGTGTAAAATATAAAAAGGCTGAATTAAATAACCACTTTATTCTCTCCCTTTAACCCTTCGGCCCCACTGAGGCTTCACACACACCAAAAAAGACTCTGAGGGGAAAAAACTAACCTTTCTGTATCTTCAGCTCCAAATTAATAAAACATATTAATCACCGCTGATCTGGACAAAAACATGAGCGAAGGGACATTTACGGCTCTGATTCACACGGAACCAAATGTTAGTCACTCATTAAAGGAACAGTTCATGGAAAATCTAAATTTCAAGACTTTTTTTTTAACCCAAACACAGCTGACCAGCCAAGATGTTTGTTGTCCGGCATCTGCGTCTTCATTTTTCAGTGGAGCCAATATAACAATAACGACTCTGAGTGACACAGATTCACATGAGCTCTCAGCTGCGTTAGACGTGCAGCCATTACTATAATTCCTATTATCTTATTCCCTTTAATATCGTCGTTGGATGTTGTTTTTCATTAAGTTTCTTATTTTCCATATTAATTTACTGTGTTCTTGCTGCTTTGATGTTTTTGTTTGATTTTATGCATAGTTTTTAGTTTATAATGATCTCTTTTTGTCCTATTATTATTATTATTATTATTACTATTATTATTATTAACATTATTATTATTATCATTATTATCATTATTGCTGTTGTTGGCTGACTGACTACGTTTTGGGTTGGGGGGGTTATTGTGAAAATTAATTTTTTTTGGTGAACCGTTCCTATAAATCTAGTACACTCAATGCACTCTTTGCCCTCAGTGTTTAAAAGGTCCACATCATCAAAAACCACATTTTTTCTAACTTTTTAACTTTTTTGGGGAAAAAAATACATACAATCCAACTGGTTATTAACAATATTAACAGCGTTTATAACAGTGCTACACTCACTCTTTCCAAAACACCCCACTATGAAAAAAAACTTGCAAAAACGGCCCTTTTTTATAAAAAAAACTCTTTTGTCACTTTAAAAACAGCACATTTACACATCTGCACCTATTCAGCCCACAGCAGCTTAGCCCCGCCCACTCACACCGAAGCTATAAGGAGTGATTCAGCCTGGACTGGCAGACAATCTGCTCATTTGCATATGTTTGTCTAAAGGCAGAGCAACAAAAACAGCCTGTTTACTTCTAAGGGATAAAGAGAGGTTCAGAAATGGCCACGTAAAAACGAATGATGACCGTATCGGGTACATAACACCAAACCAACGTCACAACTGGACATCGGGGGAAAAATATAACACAAGAAAATGTAGGAAACCCGTTTCCACTACTACAGACAAATATACAGCCCTTTAGTATATCATAACTATAAGAAAATGTTCCATAATTATGATTTAGTATCTCATAATTATGACACAGCTCCAGACACAATGTCAGAATTATGAACAGAATCTCATTATTATGAGACAGAAAGTCAAAATTATGAGATACTAAGCCACAATCACGAGAAAGTAAGTCAGTCATGAGAAGGTGAGTCATAATTATGAAACGATAAATCATGATACTGACTTGGTATCTTATAATTATGAGAAACAATGACATAGTAAGTCATTATTATGAGGTACTTAGTAGTAATTATGGAATTCTAAGTCATAATTATGAGATATAAACTCAAAAATATGAGACTGTGTCATATTCTGAGATACTACATCACAACTATGAACCGTATCTCATTATCATGACACACCACGTCAAAATTATGACATACTAAGTCACGACTATGAGAAAGTAAGTCTGTCATGAACAGATGAGTCATAATTATGACATGATAAATCATGACTATGGGTCGCTAAGTCATAATATAATACTGAATGTCGTTATTATCAGATAATACATCATAATTATGAGATTGAATCTCATTATTATGAGACATCACGTCAAAATAATGAGATAAGTGACAATTATGAGTAATAAATGTAAGATATTCATAACTATGAGATATTAAGTCATAGTTATGGAAGACTTTCTCATTATTATGACTTACTAAATGGTTATATATGTTCTTCCAGTGGCAGAAACGGTAAAAAGACACCTGTAGGGATATTTCATTTGTCATTATTACAATTTTTGCATATTTGAATGCAGTAAATTTAAAGTGGTGCCATTTTTTCCACTGTGATCTGCTGAGAGAATAAACACAATAAAACATACAGAAAAACAATATATAAAGAAGCCATTTGATGGGATAAATCCAGTCTGGGAGTCACAAACAGTTGGCTTCTTATTCGAACGTCCCCGTTCCACCTTAAACGGCGCCAGAACGCAACCGCTGCACCATTTAAGGTGGAACGGGTAAATTCGAGCAAGAAGCTGGCGAACACGAAGCCAACTTCAGCCTCGCCGCAGCTGGAAAGGCTTCAGAGAGTTATAAATGTGCATTCAGTGCTGTTTGTGACGGTAAAATCGCTGTAAATATCGTTTCTTTATTTCAGTGTTTTTGGCGCTGATGCTCAAACGAACTTCGCCATATTCTTGCAGCAAAAAAAAAACTTGTACTTCTTGTTGTTTTCGGTGTTAAATGTCTGCTTTACCTGCTCCTTTCCCGGCCCGGGATCCCCAGAGGTTGACGGCACCTCTTCGTCAGACATTTTTTAAGCTTTTCATGAGATGTTTTGGGCGCAAAATGTGAGTTTTAAAAGGAAAAATAAACCACGAAGCTGCGCTGCAGTTTCAGACATGGCAGGCATACGCCCCCCTCAGCGGGAAATATCGCGATGACAGCAGCGCGAAACACCGCGAGAGTTTGAAACGCAGCGATGTAAACAAACACCTCGTCGAAGCCTCAGACATCTCTGTAACCATAATAACGCATATTATCTGGGCAAAATCGCACCGATATGATAGGAAATATATAACAGAGTGTGTTTTTACTCGGTTAGAGTCGAATACAGTTCGTGACGAGGCTAAAATTGGCGTCCTATTTTCCTGAATTTTTCGTTCCACCTTAAATGGTGCAGCAGTTACTGTCTGGCGACTATACTGGCGCCAAGCTGTCACTGCTGCAGCATTTAAGGTGGAACGGTGACTTAAAAAATCTCTTGAAAATAACCACTCAAAGGGGAATTTTCAAAATTTCTCCATAAATTCCTGTTTGAGATGTAAACAGAGAGATTCACAGTGGTTTGGTGTGAAATGGTTCAGATGTCTTTACAGTGGTGGTGATAGGAACCAGGGGTCGCCATGACTACAACACTAATATAGACATTTTATTTACTATCCAGAACCACCAGAGAACCTACACGAGTCTTCTGAGTTTATATGGAATGTTGATGATGGAAAATTGTGGAAAATCTGAAAGAATAAGTTTTCTTTGGGGACTATTTTGCCTCACAGCGCCCTGCATATTATGTATCCCTCCATCATGAATGGAGTTTTAGGCCAAAATCTTCTCAAAACTATCATAAACATTGTCTCAGTCATCAAGCAGTGAATTCATAACCATTTCATGTAGGAACTTTCTGTGAGGAGCTTTTAGAGGTGGACGTCTGGTTCCTATCACCACCGCTAGAACAGTTCTGACTCTGTAAGTTTATCTAGAACAGAGCGTTTCACACCAAACCACAGCTTTGTTTACATCTGAACTATTTAACTACACAGGAATTTGTAGGCTAAAGTTCCCCTTTAACCTCCCACATACATATAAAATAGGAATGAACTATTACAAAACTGATCTGTAGTAAAGAGGAACTAAGATCTTTAGTAAAGACAATGGTTCTGCTTAGAACCATGGGCACTCAAAGAACCATCTGCATGCTTAAATGGTTCTCTGCATGGTGAAATCGTTCTTCAGATTGAAGGAGCATGTGTTGCAATGGTTCTATATATAGTACCAAAAAGGGTTCTTCTATAATGGCAATGTCTATCTTCTAACAGTACACTCTAAAAAAAAAGGTTCTATGTAGAACCATGAACCATTTGAATGATTAAAGTGTTCTTTGCATCATGAAAGTGTTCTTCAGATTGATGGAGAATGTATTGTAGATGGTTCTATATTAAAACCTTTTTTAAAATGGTTCTATATAGCACCGAAAAGAGTTCTATTGTTACAAGCTTGGCATCAAACCAATAGCAGGACCCTTTCTGGTGCTGTATAGAACCATTTTCAAAAAGGTTCTGTGTAAAATTATATACAACACATCTGAAGAACAATTTCACAATGCAAAGAACCCTTTAGTCATGCAATGGGTTCTTTGAGTGTTCATGGTTCTATCTAAAACCATTTTCTTTACTAAAGAACCTTTGAAGAACCATCTTTTTTAAGAGCATAGAAGAACACTTTTGGCGCCATATAGAGCCATGTTCGAAATGTTCTGCATAGAACCATATAGAACACATTATCCATTAATCTGAAGAACGCTTTCACGTCGCAAAGAGCCCTTTAATCAGGCAAAGGGTTCTTTGAGTGTTCATGGTTCTATAAAGAACCATTTTTTTCTTTTCTAAAAACCCTTTTGGGTGCTATGTAGAACCCTTTTTAAAAAGGTTCTATATAGCACCATATAGAACACATTCACCATAGATCTGAAGAATCATTTCACCATGAAAAGAACCATTTAATCATGCAGTGGGTTCTTTAGACCCGCAGTGGCTCCTGTCCTGCAGTAATCTATAAAATCCCCCACATTTACTGTCAGATTCTTTCAGGACTCCTTCAGAAATTCCTGTGATATTTATAGATCTTATTGATACGAAACTGAACAATGGGAACTGAATGTAAACGCTAAAAGTGGAACTGGGAAAATTCCTTTGCTCCAAATATGCTTGAGAAGAAGTGAAAATATCTATATAGAGTTGGAAAAGCTCAGAAAAGTACAAGAGCAGAAAATGTGAACTTGAACTAAAAAAAGTATCAAAAGCACTGACTAAATATGACTGTTTACATCTGCTCACTATTTGCTGATATATGTAAATTATAAGCCATGCAGATTTAAATAGCATTAAAAAAATAACCGTGCACTTTACTGTTGTTATTCGCTTTAACCACTAGGGGGCGACACCCATATTTCTCAAACGTAATCTCCACTGTTAAACTTTGTTTCTCAGGTCATGTTTGAAATGAACGTTATTCTAAAATGTTAATAATAATAATAATAATAATAATAATAATAATAATAATAATAATAATTTGCTGTAATAAACCGGCCCTGCGACGGACTGGTGACCTGTCCAGGGTGTATCCTGCCTTCCACCCGATGACTTCTGGGATAGGCTCCAGCTTCCCCCGCGACCCAGAAGGGTAAGCGGCTTAGAAGATATATGTGAGTGTGTGTGTGTGTGTGTGTGTGTGTGTGTGTGTGTGTGTGTGTGTGTGTGTGTGTAATAAACCGCACAGGCCACCAGAGGGGGACAAACCTCCATCTTTCCCAAAGCCTAAACCCTCTCTGTTTAGCTCAGCCCATGTTTTTTTGGGTGCAAACACAAAAGTTGGGCTCTTTATTGATTTAATCTTAATACATTTTAAAAATATATAGTGTGATATGAGTAATATTTGAAACTAATGTTATTCTGACAATTAGATTTTTTTCCTTATTGATTTTCTATTTTTTTAACCAGCTACTTTTTCACAGCAGCCATAAAATTATCATTTTCACCTGTTTTACAGCTCCATCAGTTCAATAATGTGTTATTATTATTATTATTATTATTATTATTATTATTATTATTATTATTATGAAGAACTTTTTACCTGCAAACACTCACAGAGTTTTCTGGGTTTTGTTTAGTTAAGAATGAACCTTGTATTGTTTTTGAAAGGCTAATAAAATTGCTATAATAATAATAATAATAATAATGCTAATAATAATGATAATTATAAAAATACTACAATAGTGCATTTCCTGTAGAAATTGCAGAGTGACTGCACAGTTAACCAGTTGCTAGGGTGTTCCAGGGCTAAACGGTTGCTAAAGTATCCAAAGTGGTTGCTAGGGTTAGTAGGTGGTTTCTAGATTGGTACTAGGTGGTTGTGGTTGCTATGGTATCCCAGGTGTTTGCTAGGGTGTTCCAGGTGGTTGCTAGGGTATCCCAGGTGGTTGCTAGGGTGTTTCAGGTGGTTGCAAGGGTGTTCCAGGTGGTTGCAAGGGTGTTCCAGGTGGTTGCTATGGTTCCACACAAGGTTAATAGGGTGCTGCTAATGGATTCAGAAAATTTCCAAAGTCTGTATCGATATTCCTAAAACTGCAGGATGAATTAGTGGACAAAAATCTGGCAGAAAAATAAGAAGAAGAGGAAGAATAAGAAGGAGAAAAAGAAGAATATACCTCCAGATAACAATCACTAATAATAATAATAATAATAATAATAATAATAATAATAATGATGATGATGGTGACCGTAGCGAATAATAATCCCAGTAATAACAATGCTTAGTATTATTATTGCAATGTTATATTATTGTTATTGTTAATGTTTTAATTTTACACATTCACTTTTTTATATACATCATGATGTCATTATTGTCCCAACAGTTAAAAAACACCATGATATAAATTTGAACTCATATCGCCCACCTATAACTGGTCTGTGAGTAACAGATGGCTCAGTAAACCATTAAAAGTCCCTTCACAGCATTTTCCAGAGCTGCTGTCCGTTCGTCTGTCCGTCTGTCAGGGGTCATGTGCTGCTTTGTCATTAGGCACTGCCCAGCCGCCACCCACTCACACAGGCTCTGCATGCAAATACATGCCTTTTCCTTCTCTCTCTCTCTCTCCCACTCTCTCTCTCCCCCACTCTCTCTCTCTCTCCCACTCTCTCTCTCTCTGTCTCTTTCAGATTCACTTACAAGTGTAAACTCTCCCATTCCTCCCTCTTCTCTAGAACTCTATCTCTCTTTACCTCCTCCCTCTCTCCCCCCCCTCCTCTCTCTCTCTGCTTAGTTCCTCCTCTACGCTGGAGGTTTCACACGCAGGATCCTCTCAGTATTCAGTCTGCACTCGCTCAGCTGCAGAGATGAGTGCAGGGGACGTGGTCTGTACCGGATGGCTGGTCAAATCCCCGCCAGAGAAGAAGCTGAAGAGATATGTGAGTAGAAAAGACTGGACATTGATGATGTAAAGGCAGTTGAATGTTGTGATAGTAAAATAACACTAATAATGTGTATGTCCTTCACTGTCACACTGAAGGGAAACAGTGCGTTGAGTTTGCTGGGCTGAGTGTGGGTGAGAGAGGGAGAGAGAGAGAGTATGAGACTAGCAGGTGTTGCAGTATGGAGCTGTATAAGCCATCAGGCTCACTGTCCTCTGAAAACGTCCCCATCCTGCCGTTGGGTCTGAACAAACACTGGAAGCCTTTATAGCTGCACTGAATTTAAATGTGCTGTCAGCCTCAATCAACCTGACCAGCCTTTACGGTCACTGATAAAGCGCTTTCCCTCAGGCGCTCGGCTGCCTGGAGCTGCTGCTTTCGTACGACCTGATGTTCATGCACTTGAAACTGCTGTGCGCAAAAATGAAATGATATCTTGGATCTTAAAGCGGCCGCACAATTGTTCTCTTTCCTCAAAGCTACGGTACCGTCTTATTCAGGAAAACGACAAAAGAAAAGCTGTTTATCTGGGCAGTAACTGGTCACTTGTTTTAAAAATAATGTTAGAATAAATGCATAAATATACAGTTTAACTGTTTCCAAATCTCTCCTCGAAGAAGCCCATTTAGTGCCCAGTTTATCCTGCGTTAACGGAGAAATTCTGCGTAATGTAGAAAATTTCATGAGATGTAAACAAAGTCATTCAGAGTGCTGGTGATAGGAACCAGGCATCGCCATGACTACAACACAAATATAGACAATTTATTTACTATCCTAAGAGTATTTATATTAAATGCTGATGATGGGAATATTGTGGAAAATCTGAAATAATAAGTTAAGGGGACTATTTTGCCTCACATCACCCTGCATATTATGTATCCCTCCACCATGAATGGAGTTTTAGGCCAAAACTATCATAAAACAGTGTCTCAGTCATCAGGCAGTGAATTCATAACCATTTCATGTAGTAACTTTCTGTGAGGGAGCTTTTAGAGGTGGACGTCTGGTTCCTATCACCACCACTGTGAACAGTTCTGACTCGGTAAGTTTATCTAGAACAGAGCGTTTCACACGAAACCACAGCTTTGTTTACATCTGAACTATTTAACTACACAGGAATTTGTAGGCTAAAGTTCCCCTTTAACCTCCCACATACATATAAAATAGGAATGAACTGTTACAAAACAGATCTGCATTAATGAGGAACTTATAGATCTCTGTATTATAGTGCAGCCACTCTTATAAAATAAGCTCTTTAATAAAGACAATGATTCTGTTTGGAACCATGGACACTCAAAGAACCATTTGCATGCTAAAATGGTTCTCTGCATGGTGAAACGGTTCTTCAGATTGATGGAGAATGTGTTGCACTGGTTCTATTCAGCACCAAAAAGGGGCTCAAACAGTCATAAACTACCATAAACAGTGTCTCAGTCATCAGGCAGTGAATTCATAACCATTTCATGTAGTAATTTTCTGTGAGGAGCTTTTAGAGGTGGACGTCTGGTTCCTATCACCACCACTGTGAACAGTTCTGATTCTGTTTGTTTATCTAGAACGGAGCGTTTCACACCAAACCACTCTGAACGACTCTGTTTACATTTAAACCATTTAATTATGTAGAAATTGTGAAGAATCACAGGACGTTTTGCTATGGTTTCAAAAAACATATCATTATTTTTTTATACAGAAGCTAAAATGTGTTACTTTGTACTGTATTTATGTTTATTTGTAGCTATTCTAATGTTATATACAGTGTTTTTTACCTACTGCTCAGATAAACTCAGAGTTTTACACAGCTCCCTGCTGAAAAAGGAACATTGGATTAAAACCTAACGGCCTTTGCTTTGGGAATTGGCCTAATAGTGTCCAATAGAGACCACTAGTTTCCTGTAGAACACCTTTAGATCCCATTAGGAAACGATTAAATGCATTTAGGTCACCTGGTAAATCACTAGGATCATTTACACTGTGATATCAACCCATTAAAAAAGCCCAATAACATTACAGAATCACCAGGAACCAACAGAAACACTGTTGTTACAGCTGCCTAAGACTTTTGCACACTACTGTAGTTGGCCAGCCAAGTTCGCTTCTTCAGTCTGTGTACTGGAGCTGCTAGGCTAATGTGGCTAACACGCAAGGGAAGCTCATACCTCACCAGTTAGCATGGCGCTAACGGCCTGATTCACCACATACTCGCCTCAGACCGTGTGGAGTTGTTCTGTAGCTCTAGTCGACTTTCTGATGTGGTTTCTGACGCAGTAGACGTCTTACAGGGGGACTCCACCGATTTTTCCAAATTTCTGCTTAAGTATAGTGTTAATGTGTCAACAAGATCATTCAGTCACAGAAAGTTACTACATGAAATGGTTATGAATTCACTGCCTGATGTCTGAGACACTGTTTTACGATAGTTTCGAGAAGATTTTGGCCTTGAAATCCATTCATGGTGGAAGGATACATAATATGCAGGGTGTTGTGAGGCAAAATAGTCCCCACAGAAAACTTCTTAAACCCATGTTTTTTCAGATTGATCACTGTTTTACCATCATTAATGTACATAAATATAAACATATAAAAAAACAAAAAGCATGTGTAAATAAACTGGCCATGTTTGCATTGTAGACATCAGGACGTCTGGTTCCCATCACCACCACTGTAAGGAAACCTGTCTGTATGTTTTTCTACAAATGAACCATTTCACATCAAACCAATCTGAATGACTTTGTTTATATCAGCCATTAACCGGCTGATAAATTGGGTTGTTTAAAGCAAAAACACTAAGATCATTTCACTCAGCACAGATACTTCAAACAAGTAATATTCATACTGCAGTCTCAGCATTAGACACGTGGCCAGCAGTAAAAAGCTTTCATATGATCAGCGTGGCCTGACATGGTGTTTGTTGGTGTTGAATTGGTGTGAAATACGTAGCTGAAGCTAATGTCTTCCTGGTCTTGTGATGTTTTGGGCTGAAGCCATGTTTTCATCATGTGCAGTTTTGGAATGAAACAGTGTTTGTGCTTCGAGGTATGTGTTGTAGGTGTTTCTCAACCACCAGCATAGCGATCATAACAAAGAGTGACGGCAAAACTGACCTGAGGTTAACGCGTAGTCTCTGTTTGAGTTGAAGGCACGACACAGTTCATTCTAAGGGGTTACGATATTATTTGGATAGTCCACTTTAGATCATTTGTAGATACTTAATTTACTTTTAAGTTACATTCAACTAAATGTCTAATCATTGTCTTTAACTCTTAACCTGCTCTAATCCTAATCCTAACCTTAACCTCAACCCGAAACCTAAACCCAACCCTCACCCTGGTCCGAATACTAACCCTAACCCCTCCACTGTTTAGAGTTTAAACAGATAGTTTATTAACAATTTGAACATCTGTAGATAATCTATAGTGGACGATCCATATAAAGTGAGCCCTAATATATTAGGATCATTAGAAACAATTAAAATCCAATAATTTTGCTTTCCAATGGGAATTGGCTCAATGGTTTCTACCAGTTTTCTGTAGAACAGCTTTAGGCCCCACTGGGAAGCCATCAAATTCATTAAGAATCAGCCATTGGTCACCTGTTAAACCATATGGATCCTTCATGTTGTGATATCAACCAATCAAAGAAGTCCAAACCGTCAGGTACCAATAGTAACACAGTGGTTTCTTTGGGTTTTCCAGCAAGTTGTTGCAGCTGCCTAAGACTTTTGCACGCTACTGTAGTCGATCAGCCGAGTTTGCTTCTTCAGTCTGTGAACTGGAGATGCTAGGCTAGTGCGGCTAACAAGCTCTCATACCTCACCAATTAGCTGTTGTTGCATTGCTGTACAATTTTAAATGGTCACTTTTTGACCCCTAATGTACGACGGGGGACCACGATGATATATTTTATCATGTGACATAATTAGACTTTGGAAATTTGCTCTTTCCAAATAAAAACAAGTATCTCAATTTTCTTCTACATCATTTGAACACTAAAGCTGCGCTTTACATGGTGTGAAACCTTCATGATCAATTACCCTTTAACACCCAGGACCCACCGGTGGGCCCAAAGTGTTATTACACACTTCTATAACCTAAGAATAGCTCAGCCAGTTTGCACTGAAGTCCCTGTAGTTACTGTACAATAAGCCTTAGTATGTAATAAGCTTAAGATTTTAAGGGGTTTAAAAAAGGTCCAAAGTTGAATTTTGCATTAGAAGCTAAGAAAGTTTTTGCCCTCTAATGGAAAGTTAACAATTTGGAGATACTTGTTTTTTATTGAACAGCAACAAAATTCTTCCCTGCGCTGGGACTGAACACTGCTCTCCACTAGCTAACCATTCAGAGTCCTTGTAGAAAAGGCTGTACATCTTGGTAACACCGCCGGGCAGTTATTTCCACTCATACAAGACCAGGTTCCTCTCTCTGAACAAGGAGAGACCAAAATACTCCAAACTGAAGGTCAGATTACTTCAAGCGTTCTTTAGTTAAGAAAATAATATATATGGAACCATGAACACTCAAAGAACCTTTTGCATGATTAAAGGGTTCTTTGCATCGTGAAAGGGTTCTTCAGACCGATGGAGGATGTGCTGTGGAGGTTTTTTTGAAAAGGGTTCTATATAGCAAAAAAGGGTTCTGCTATAGTCAACAATTGAAGAACCCTTTTAGTGCCTTTACTCATACTCATAAATAATGGTTCTTCAGGGATTCTGTAATAAATAAGATGGTTCTGTACAGAAACATGATCACGCAAAGACTCCTATTCATGAGTAAAGGGTTCTTGAAGTGTTCATGGTGCTATATAGAAATATTTTCTTTACTACAGGAGAAGATCCATCGTTTTAAGAGTGCATGTTGTTATGCAGTTGAGGAAGACCTGCTTAAAACAGGATATTTACAATGCAAACATGTGACCTCACTGCAGGGGGTTTCCCTGCTCTGATTTCCCACATACTCACAACGTAGTGCTCTAGTACTGCACGTATCTAGACTGTGCTTTGG